CAGAGGTATTTTCAGAGAAATATCCACAGAAGCTCCAAGATCTCCTTCCTGAAAGGCACCACTTGATTAGGCTGCATTAGATTGGACTTCCTTAGGAACTGGGGTTTCCTTTGCAACTGATGAATTCATTACTTGCATAGGTCTCATTCCTAATTTACTCAATATTGCAGTATTCTTCTGCAGCTGCTTTTAGCCAGATTCTGATTTTAACCACTGGTGATGCCCCCAGCATTACAGTCTGCCATACTGCCCATGAAGGTGAGCAGCTTGTGTCTTTGTGAGTCTTCAGGAGTCCACATCGACCCTAACGACATCTCAGATACTGTTAACTCAGCAGCACTTCTTTTCCTGTGTCTCCTGTCTTCAAGTCCTTTACTAATATACAGGAAGAGCTCCTCATCCCTTGTCCCCCTCCATCTACACCAGTGCACCCTAATCCATGGGAGCCTGAGGTTGGGTTTTCTTCTTTTTAAGAGCTTTTGCTAACGTACATTATTATATTTATTTTTTTTTTTAAGAGGAAAACCAGAGCTTTACTGGCAAGTCTACTGACTTTCCTGTACAGGCAATCCAGGATTGTGGCTTCTCTGAGCAGCTTCACCAAGGAGTTCTGCAGAGCTGTAAATCAAACAAAAGTGCTCAGACTTCCTTTATTTTTAGGTTCAGAACAGGTGGTATTGGAAGAAGGTAAAACCCATTACAATATTTGAATAGTCATTCTATATTTTATATTGACTCCTTTGATCTATACAAGCGTATATCACACAGCAGAATTCCATGCATCTAGTTCTGGTATACTTACACATACATATTAGTGAATGATTTTTTGTTATAAAAGCACACAAATCCCATTGCCAACAACACAATATATAACATCTACTTTGTAATCTATAAAATACTCACTGATATGGCCTGGGAGATGAAGTGCTGCCTCAGCTGGAAGCTGAAGAAATGCAACACAATTTTCCTGAGAGGATTCTTCAGATCCTGGGCATGATGTATCAGAGGCACAGGCATAAACACAAAATTAAAACAATAAAATTGACTGCCTAGACTAAGCCTTCATTACCAGCAATATACAAATACTAGCAAGTAACTTTCCCTCACAGGCAGACATGCCCTCAATAACTTTAAAACAGAAAAAAAGAAAAAGAAAGAAGAAAGGCTACCTTTTAAGCTAGAATGACTGGCTTTCCACTGCAGAGTCCTCAGGCAATAAAATAATTTACAGTATGTTTCAACCAGGTATTGGAAACAGCACTTGCTTAACTCAGCTTCACTGGCGTTTTACATACACAGTGGTTTAGCATCATTTCCTGGCTGGGAGGGTGTGAGTCCTGCTTCCAGCATCACCTAGTCCATCACAGGCTCATCTGCAAGGCAGCTGTAAGGTCCCCTGCCCACCTAGACCCTCTGCCCCCTGATACAATGGTTTCACCTGGCCTGATTTACCATTTACTGGTGTGGGTTTCTGTGTTGCAAATCCTACTCTAAAAGTATTTACTCCTTCTCTGTAGCTGACATAGGTTGTTGTTAGAATAACATTCCTATTGGGTGAATCAAATAAAAAGTGGCCACAAACACTATAGAAGCTGAAAAAGTGGCATCAGCTTTTCATATTTATTCCTGTTGATAGAGCTGGAAGAAACTAGTAATTTGCTTAGGCTACAATGCAAACTGGAGAGACCAAATTAGCAGGTAAAGTCTCTGCTCAAGGCCACACAGCTAAAATAAATTCACTGAATGGTAAGTTTTTTCTCCTTAACATATCTTACAGTAAAGACCATGATATGATCAGCACCGTTATCTGTCTGGTTTAAAACAAACAAGCATCCTTGCTGTCTTTTCTCTTGGTAGCTAGGGAGCCTTCATTTTTCATTTTATAATCCTTAAGATATGAATGTACTTAGGCTAAAAAAATCATTAAACATTAATATAAAGCCTGTTTTAACTTCAGACTGTTTGCTGCCCAAAGATAATTGTTTAAGAAAATGAACTGTACTCCCTTTGTGGCTTTTCCATGTATTTTTCAAAAACTAATACTAGAATTATGAAAGATAGGAATAAGTACAGCAAAGTAAATTAAATCATATTACTAAAGCCTTGGGGAAGAGCTAATGCAAATGAGTTAAAGACATGTAAGTTCCAAACAGCTACAGAGTAAGTTTCATTCTGAGCATCATTACTCTGAGAAGATGCCTGAGACAATAGCACCTTTGCTAGCTGTGAAGTCACTATCTTGTAAAAACAAACAAACAAAAAAAAAAAAGAAGAAGAAACTGTTAGCTCTACATACATTGTAGTTTTTATCATCCCTTTCCTTTTCCAGTAAAGTTATTGCTTGCAAAAGTGTAACTCTGAAATAAGCAACCAAAGTTAATTTTCTTTTTCTGTCACTGGGTATCGTGTGTTCATGGATAGATGGAAATTCTGTATTTTAAAGACTATTTTGACCTTAAAGGCAGGGCAAACTTTTATTTAAAAGCTATTTGTAAGGCTAAAGTATCTTACAAGTAAATAAACCAGGGGAAGATGAAAGAGGGGGCTGAAAACCAATATATGCTAAAAGTCATTAAAGCAGAATTGCCATGGAGAGGTGGACAGAGAAATATTGTTCACTGAATCTGGTGCCTCAAATGGAAACAGCAACACAAACAAAACAACAGGACATTTTGACAAATAGGAGGCAAGGTATGGGCATTCAAATATTGAATGGGCTTAAAAGTAATGGGAGGAAATGAAAGCAGCATGATTAAAGGGTATTCAACACACCACACACATAGCTTTCAGAACTTTTCTGTCCCAAAGTTCTCCAGTGCCCTCTGTACTCTTGTCCCCTCCTCTCCCCCATGCACTCAGGATCGGTAAGTAGAGGATCCTGGGCCAGAAGGATTTTCAGTCAGATCCTGTTTGAACATCCTTATGTTGTATTATTTCATTGGCTAATCTGTGTCCAGCTAACGTTTGGGGATAATTTTACCTAGATTTAAATGTATATTATGGTGCTGGCTGGTCAAGGCTATAAGGCTGAAGAGTGTACAGTTATGGAATTATGATGGCTGAAATGGGAAGAAAACCTGTAGAGCCTAGGGCAGAGAAATGACCGGATGAGAGTAAATGTTAGTAAATTTGATTAGTAGTTTTTTTGACGTCCATTATATATCATGATATAGAAGGTACTTGGAAAGTATGTACAATTGTAAGACAAGGTGGTTAGAGGAAAAGACAAAAATCTGTGAAAGGCAAATCAAGCTTGACTAGCTGAATAGCCCTCCCTTAGAAGAAAGCTGTGATCTGGCACATTTTCTTTCCCAAGAATAACTCTTGTCTTTAAGCCAACAATTCCCTGCAAAGCTACTGCCTTGGGAAACTATTAGTGAAGCAGAATAAGGTCAAGAAACTGTACAGTGAGGGCAGATAAAGATACTACTGGGTTGCGTTGAAAGGGTAAACATCAGGCTGGAGAGAGATGCTAGCGGAATTTCTTACAGATATGTCTTCATATTTTTTTCATTCTATACCTGGGCACAAAGAAATAGTGCCCCTGTGATGAAATTTTCTGAAGACACAAAATTGGGGGATATTATCAATGGAAAGAAGGTTTGCAGTTTTGAGGATTTGGGATTTCTAGTCTCTTATTTGCAGTTATGTGTGGATGTGCTGCAAAGAGTTCCCAGTTTACAGGAGCTGAGGGAATCTGATTACAACTTCTGTTATGCAGGGAATTAAATACCAAAGTCTGATAGTTGTTGATATCTGTGATGGAGATACCAACCAGTGAAGAACCTGAGGACAGCGTGCTCTTCGGGAGATAATGGTAAAAGAGAGTTCCTTCTGAAAGGAGCATGGTGTGGACTCTGTGAAGATTGCTCTGTTGCAGAGCTTGTCAGGGATTTTATATTTTCATGTTCTGTGTCTGCATGACAGCTCTATTAATACGGATGCAAAGATTTCATGTATTTTACTGGCACAGGAGGCTTTCAGAATTTGTTTCTCATGGGCTAAAAAATGAGCTGTGTTTTTTAAAGAGCCAGAATGTCTTGTCACTCACTGTTTTACATCCAATTGCAAACATATGAACGTTTTTCATGCACATTACCTGGTCTAAATAGCTGTGTTGACAAGAGCTGAGTACCAACATTATTCTGTCCAAGTTGCCCATACTGTTCTGTAATGAAGTTATCAAAAGGCAAATGGGAGGGTAAAGTTAGTTTTTTGCGTACACTGTGTGTTGGGTATATTTATTTTGTATTTTACTCAAAATACAAAATAATGGAATCAAAAAAAATTGCATCGAAACTCAGAATTTGTAGCTTCAAATCTAAATTATTTAAAATGCAGTTTAATTCAAGTTATGAGAAAATGGTCCATTCTGTGCTTCCTGGTACATGAAAACTACCATCTGAGTGGATAGAAAAGATTAACATATGATTATATATTTGTTGAAACCTGAAGGCAGCTGCCGGGATGGGGTAAGTAGGGGTGTATGTTGTTTCATCGATTCATCTTCTACCACTGCAAAGTTAGATGCCCGACCAAACACAAAATCACTGCCTCAGCTCTGTGCCAGGGTCATTGTTGCGTTGTGCTCTTTATCTAAACAGAGTAAAGCCTCTTTTTCTCCCCCTTCCTCCTCCTGAAAGCCCCATGTGTCAGAGTCCATGGTTCCCCTGTGAGACCTGGAGAGACTGAGCCTCCTGGGCTGCACAGGTGTGGAACTTCTCACTTTTTATTGAGTGATAACGGTGGTGAAGCAGCACCATGTCTAAAGTACTCAGCAGAAAAAGTCAATAAGCTGAATTCAGTTCTTTGGATGTGTACGTTTCTGTTACTAGCTGATTAGTATGCATTGAGGTTGTGTACTTAGCATCATTGAGTTCTCCTCTCATGGGTACTGGGTTACGCCGTGGTGCTCTAGCCTTTCAGCAGTGGTTGGTTAACTCTGCCTCCTATGTTAATTCACTTACAAATCTCCTTCCCTCCCTTCCTGTTTCCCGCAGACCCCCCCGCCGTGGAGCCCACCTTCCTGGAGATTCGGCAAGGCCAAGGCCGAAGCATCACCATGAGCTGCCGGGTTCTGAGGGCATATCCCACCCGGGTCCTCACCTATGAGTGGCGCCTGGGCAGCAAGCTGCTGCGCACTGGCCAGTTCGACATGCAGGACTCCACCGAGTACACTGTCAGCAGCCTCTCCCGTGACAGCTACGGCATCTACAACTGCAACATCATCAATGAAGCGGGTGCTGGCAGATGCAGCTTCCTCGTGACAGGTAGGCTTGGGCATGCCTCGGTGCCCCAAGATGATGAGCTGAGCATGCTGCAGGCACATGTGCTGTTGGGTGATACTGCTTCTGCTTCAATAACAAATTACCAAAGACATATATCCTATGAGATGGAATGGTTTAAGGCATCTGGTTTTGATTCTAGGAAGGTTGATAACAAAACAGGAGATATAACTTATTTCATTGATACGAGGATATTTTTACATGCAAAATGTAGAATATCCCTTCTCTGCAGGCGTTTGTCAGTATGCTTTTGAGAAAGGCCTGAGAGAGTCGTTAGGCAGAAAATCTCTTCTATTTGAAGTTTGCAATCAGGCTTGAATTTCTTCTTCTCTTTTGGTACACTTAGTGAGCTGACAGACTGGGGTGGGCAGAGCACAGTCTCAGGCAACTTCAAGCAACCCAAGTACAGCTTGCTGTTGAGATTTGTTCCTTTTCTCAAGCAGCAAAGAGCTTTGTGAAGTTCATACACAAGATCACAGACTCAGGAAGAATGTGCAGCCCCTGCCATGATATACCCATGTTGTGCAATGAATGCACTGGATTGAGACAAACTTTGTATGTCTGTTATCTTTAGTATCTTGGCTCTGAATATTAAACTGGGTGTTTAGTCACGTAATTTGATTCTTCAGCTGTTGGAAATCAGTTACCTGGGCTGGAAGACTCAGCTGCCTGTTCCTGCAACAAACACCCTGTTCCTGCATCAGAGGTTGTGTCCAAGCTGAGGTCCTTTGGAAAGATCCCACTTTGTGGTTGGGATTTTATTCTTGTACAGTGACTTGGCTCCAGCTACAATCAGATCTAAACAAGGTTTTGCTTTTGGAGTTGCTGGCAGCCTGACAGCTCCCTGAATCCTGCCATTGATTAGGAAAATGGGCATTATTATCAGCTTCACTACTACTAGCAAAAAGGGCATGGATTTAATGGAGAAGCTGAAGAGAGCCTCTCAGGACCCCTGTTCTGCATGAGTCCTGGATATCAGGGGAGACCCTTCATACACATCTGTCCTTTGAATGAAGGAAGCATTTTGATAAAGCTCCCCAGTGTTTTTAAGTAAAATTTTGTTTGATCGGAAAAAACATGAGCCTCCTTTTATGTGGATGGTGGGGTTTTGTTTTGTTTTTTTTTTCTCTTTTAGACTTAGTTTAATGGGATCATGTTGGCAGGGATTCCACTGGGCTAGCAGCATGCGACACAGATGTGGCGGAAGCACAGCGAGCACCCCAGTGACCGATGGCTCTGCTTCTTTCAAAAAGTAATCGAGCCTTTGCATGACTTATCATTCAGAGCCTGCATGGAGGTATTCTCACAGCCACCGACTTCTCCAAATCCTTAGATTTTAATTCCAAAGGTGGCTCTGAAGGAAACAGTCTTTTTCCTCAAATGAGTAAATGCAGTTCAATTTACTGTTCATCACACTTTGGACTTGAGACTGTGGAAACCTATTCTCAGGCAATTATTTTGCCAAGACTGGGGCAATCTGAGTGGCTTTCTGTGATTTATTACCATGCCAAAGCAAGCCACGTAACTGAAAATTAGTACTAAAATGGTTTTATGATACACTCTGTCTCACATCCCTTTGTGTGCTTTGCTCATTTTTAATTTATAGCATGATGTGAATTTATGCTGTATGGTTGGGTCCACGATGCTGGAAGTAACACTTCGGTTTTCATGCTTTCCTCAGTCTTTTAAGGTTAAAACCAGTGTGTTTAGTAAACACATACTTTGACACATAGAGTTGAAACTGGTCTCAGGAAAGAGCAGGAGCTGTATTGTGGTCCCAGGTCTCATCAGGATAGATGAAGTTAAAGCACTGGGGAACTGAAAACGTGTAGAAGAAAAATGACAAAGTGGTTAAAAAGGAGGCTTGCATTTCACTGGGAATGTGAATACAGGAAAGAAATGGGTCACTTCTTAGATACATGCCTGGAGGAAAAAAAACAAATAAATAACCCAGGAATCTGGTGATAGTGGAGAGCATTTCTTTCGGGTGGAATAATGGGAGCTGCTGCAGCCCATTTTTAGTCTGTTTTATCTCCAGACTTTTATGTAGTAGCAGTGTACTGCAATGCTCACGTTGCAGGGGCTGCAGAGAAGCATTGGTATGCTAAGAGAAAGTTTTTCAGTACAGTATTAAAAGCAACCTGAATGGAGAGATTTATACCAGCCCTAGATTTTGCAAAATTTTTTTTTACTACATTTGTATTTTGAGCCAGATTTGAGAAGATGAAAGCAAAATACATCACATGTTGAAAACAGGGTTTAAATAATTTATATCAGCTGGGCCAATCTGAGGCAGATTTAACCTCTTGACATTTTAAAAATAACTAAAAACATACAAGCAAAATTGTATTTGTGGGAAAGCAAAGTTGAGGTCATGCTACTCACAGCTTCACTATCTAGATTTTATTCAGTGTGTGACAGTGCATATCGTATCTAAAGAGCAACAAAAAGTACATGTCAGGCACTGTGGTGTTAAAACTGTGCCATGGTTGAAAGCAAATTAAAAAAAAAAAAAGATGCAAACAACATCATGAATGGCACTGACTATTGAGAAGCCTGCATGCAGGAGACAGAAGAATCTGCATGATGGAGAAAGAGGCTGCGTTAGTGCAGGGAGGGTCCCCTCTCCCCAAGGGCTGGTGCTGTGGGCCCCTTGAGGGACAGACCTGAGCCCTCCCTGGGTCTTATCCTGCCTCCTTGCAGCCCAGACCACCCTGAGGACACCCTTTTTATACCAACTTGTGCTTCCTCAAGGCAGAGAAGGTTGAACTCTAGATTTTCTAGGTTCCCAGTGTGCAAGAGATTGATTAAACAAGCCCTTGCCTTGCTGTCAGAAGGGCTGGTGCTACAGCAGGGGTTGTGTAGAAATATCCTGTGCAGCTGGGGTGCTATTTAGGATTAAGATTGCCCGTAATCAAGGTTATCTGACAAGTCTTGGCATAACACCTTCAGCAGCTTCTAACTTTGGCAAGCTTTAACCACTTCCACTGAAATTTGCTATGCTGGTGGCTGCCTCAGGCTGAATGTCTCACAGAAGCTGCTGTCCAAAGAGATTTTTTAATCAGGAAAACGTTATTTTGTTTCATCCACAATAAATTCTTGCAGTTTTTTTAATCAGGCTATTTAAAAGGGCCAGATACACATCATAGAATATAGAATGGCTTGGGTTGGAAAGGACCTTAAAAGATCAGCTAGTTCCAGCTTCCCAGCCATTCTTGCATGATTCCTTGCTTAAGCCACATTGTGAAATCTGTTGTGGTTTATGGTGCTAGTTTGACAATGCTATGTAATTTGTGAGATACTATTTAAATTAGTAATCATAACACTAGTTAGAAATAAACAAAGCTACTAATGGCATTATGTTGATGTAGTTGCTTCTACCATCTAACTTTGATCCCACCATTGAGCAAAGATGTTTTTGAATATTGATTTTGTGTCGTTTTGTGGTTTTTTTTTTTTTGCATAAAATATTGCATTAATTAACAAGCCAATCTTTAATTATTTATTTATCCAGTCTTCTGTCATGCTTTCAGTGCTTCTGGCTAACAGCAACATCAAGCCAATCAACTCATAATTATTAGCTATGATCATAACCACAGCTTTTCCTTTCTTCAGAACTTCACTGGTGTTACTGAAGACAGAGCAAAGCAAACTGGCGGGCATGCACAAAACTGCCTGTATATGCAGTGTAGCTGGGAGTGTCTGCTCAGGCTGCCCAAGGATCTCCCCCATCTTCTGCCTTTCTCTCCCCCGTGCCTAAGGGAGTGGGAATCTGAGGAGCTTGACACTGAAACATTGAAACATAGAATCATAGAATAGTTAGGGTTGGAAAGGACCTTAAAATCATCTAGTTCCAACCCCCCTGCCATGGGCAGGGACACCTCACACTAAACCATATCACCCAAAGCTCTGCCCCGCCCAGCCTTGAACACAGACACGGATGGAGCATTCACAACTTCCTTGGGCAACCCATTCCAGTGCCTCTCCACCTCACAGTAACGGTCTTCCTCCTTATATCCAGTCTAAACTTCCCCTGTTTAAGTTTTAACCCATTACCCCTTGTCCTGTCACTACATTCTCTAATGAAGAGTCCCTCCCAAGCATTCATTCAAACACTGGAAGGCTGCTATGAGGTCTCCATGCAGCCTTCTCTTCTCCAGGCTGAACAGCCCCAACTTCCTCAGCCTGTCTTCATACAGGAGGTGCTCCAGTCCCCTGATCATCCTTGTGGCCCTTCTCTGGACTTGTTCCAACAGTTCCATGTCCTTTTTATGTTGAGGACACCAGAACTGCACACAATACTCCAGGTGAGGTCTCCCAAGAGCAGAGTAGAGGGGCAGAATCACCTCCTTCGACCTGCTGGTCATGCTTCTTTTGATGCAGCCCAGCATTCTCTTCCGAATGATCACAGCATCCATCCTCGGTGGGAGCTGTGTGATTCCTCATGTAGCCTTGCAGGAACTTCCTCATTGGAAACTTATTCTGAAATTTGTGTTCCTCAGTGTTTCTTCTTTGCCATTGGCACCATACACGGTAGCACTGTGCTCTGTGCAGCATGGAGCTGAAGTTGTGTCAGAATTACAACCCAGCCTGTCATGAAAGTTGGGATGCTTTTGCCACAAGGACATCATTTTAAAATAAACTGCAGATACCTGATATTGCAGGGTATTGGGTTCTTCTCCATGTCCTTGTCAGCTGAATTAAACAGTGTTCTGCCATTTAATGTTTTATAGCTTCATTAATCTGTTTTTTATTAGGGAAGGCTTTTTGCACTGGACTGAGGGAATGAAGTGTGTATTGTTTCAGGCTTCCCATTTTTTATTTATTTTTTTTTCCCTTAGGACCTCTGTGGGATTAATGTAAAGCAACGAGCAAAAGCCATATTTTAGAAAATTTGTTTCAGAACAGATTGGTTGTACTCTTTTTGCCTGCACAATCACAAAATTTTTTTTTGCCAATGTTTTCACTCTACAACATTGTGGGAT